CACACACACACACAGACACTCAGAGAAATACCATGGAGGTGTGAAAAGAAGGCTTTTTAAAGATAATCAATGAACATTTGACCTTGTAGTTGTTTTTATGTTTAGACACACACAAAATAAAAACACGCCAACACACACACACACAACAAACTCATATAGGCGGGCAAACAGGAAGACAAGCAAACACAATCCAAGCATGCCTGTTTGTTGTTTGTTCATTTTAGCATTGAAAACTTGCCCACTGTAGCTGTGGTTCAGAACAGTTTTGGTTCAGCTGTCGCTCAATACAAGCCTGTGTTCTGCTGAACTGCAGCAAAACCAGATGTTCTATGAACTCAACTTATATGATTCGATCCAGAGCCGTAGTATGGCTCTGATTCAAACTGACGTGTGTTTCAGAGGCATGAAGGATGCCACATATTAATAATCTGTGCTGCAAATTCAACTCCATGATTCCCCCAGCCATTTGGCTAACTTTTTTTATGTTGTTTTTTAAATCCTTTTTAAAAAAGTCTTTGAAAAGAAATTGCTGAGCAGAGTCAAAAAACACTATTGCATGGAGCAACATATATTTAAGGTTACAGTATAATACTGTATAGGCTTAGGACATTTAATTGTTGTGAATATCAATTATTAATAACCTACCTAATAACCTATTAAAAATTCATATCTCATTCTCAAGCAGTGAGTTCCTATGCAATGAAATACTTGAAACTTTCACTGTTTAAAGGTCCAGTGTGTATCATTTAAGAGGATATATTGGCAGAGATGTAATATAATATTCATAGGTATGTTTTAGTTTGTTTGTTATTGTATTAGTGTATAATCTCCTTTAAAAACACAATTGTTATGTTTTTGTTACCTTAGAAGGAGCCATTTCTATCTACAGAGGGGACAGGTCCTCTTTTATAGAGTCATTTTTCTACAGTAGCCCAGAATGGACAAACCATACACGGGCTCTAGTTTTGCAGCCACCATAGTTTCTCCTACATGCTTGGTTGAGGCATCCTTTAGTTTTCTAGAAAAACGATTTTAATGTAGTCTCTGTTGTGGAGGCAGTAGTATTCCTAAAAGAGATGGACCAACATAAAAAAACATAAAATCTGGACCTAAAACCTAAGTTAATTGTAACATTTTACTTTTTCATTGGGCTGCATTTGTTTTTAGTGGCTTACCTGCCAACTTTGCATATGGTATGTATATCATATCTCCTACTAAGCTTTAGATCATACTTGTGGGAGGTACGTCGCCAGGTGTACCACCCCCGGCCCCAGGTGGCTGAAGCAGGCTATATTTGAATTGTTGTGAGGAATCTTTCAGTTTCATTATACCCCACAAGCCTCTGTCCCTCTCCCCTGAGCTACCTTGTCTTTGCATGAGATATTACATCAACTAATAACACATGGTTGTTGGAAATGTTGTCAGATAACCAAAAAATCCAACATGATCATGGCAGATATGATACATTTTCAAAGCATTTAACTGTACAATATTACACTAGGTTCGTACTCAGAGTAGTAAAGTTTATCTACAGAACAAACCTAGCGGCAGGTGGTTTCTGCAAGACAGCAACGGGTACATTTAAAAGGGTTAAGTGCAGCTAAACTAACAGAGCAACAGAAAAAACAGAGAGAGAAAAACATCTATCTGCACTTATAGTCCCACACAGCCACACAATTTTAGCATTATATCATGCATTTTAACTAGTAAAATAACACAAACAAGCTAAAAAGTGAACCAATCCCAGAAGAAAAGAGGATGAGTAAACCTGATCTCATTTGGGGTCTCCTCTTCCTCATACTTCTTCTTCTCTTTCTTCCGGAAGACGAGCCAGATGATTAATATGACAATGAGGACACCCAGGGATATTCCCACCACTGCACCTGCTACCTTACCTACATCCCTCACATCTGTGAAGAGAAAAGAGTAAGTGATGAGGGATGAGAGCTAGAGTCACTTACTGTCACATATTAGTTTTCATTCTTAATCTTAAATTAACAAATACTAATAAAAGTATATAATAATAAAATCCATTTACTGGAAATACTTCCAACACTCCCTACATTTGTGCCACAGAGGGCCAAATTCAATTTAACACCAAGGCTATCAAACTGCTGAGCTCCTAGATGTGTCATTTTCTTTACACATGACCCCAACCGTCCTGGGCCTCTCAGGAAATGTATTAGTGTGACAGTGAAACATAACTGTTGAAGCATAGGTGGTGACCAGTAGCCACCAGTTTAAGTTTAGTGCAGTCCCTGTGGTGTTGGAGCACTGGGTGAGAATGGGGAGGCAGATGGAAAGGCAGGGAGGGGAATAAATGTATTTCCAGCTGCAGGTTGAAACAATAACCATCAATCAGCGTGGCAGTTTGGTGCGAAATGACTGCTGCGAGGGCGACGCTGCCTTCACTCCCAAAACTCACGCTGCATTGTGACTTCAATAGTGCAGTTTTCCTCTCCAACGTCATTGCTGGCTGTGCACCTGTAGACACCTGTGCTGTCCATGGTGAGATTCCTCAGGGTCACAATCTCTGGGTTCTTGAGATCTGGGGGATTATAACAGTAGTTAGTTTTTGCAAAAAACTCTTTGGACAGGACAGGAGAGACAGCTGGATGTATATCCTGGCTGAAGAAGGAGAGAGAGGCAAAGAAGAAGGAAGGATGGGGGGGAGAGACATTGATGGATTGTTTATTTAAGAACGGGGCCCATCGAGGACAACTTGAGGAGAGTAGCAGGAGCGTGTCTGAGAGAGCGATGGAGCCCCACAGCCCCATGGGATATTTAGTCATCCTCACCAATGACAACCATGTGATATTACCTTTCACCAGACCCATAAATAATGGCTGCTGACGCTGTGTGTTATCGTCCAATGAAAACTAATTAGACTGAACAGGTGTTGTTTGGTGGAGGTCATTAATTTGAAGGCTTTTGTCTGGGCACGTGCCATCGCGGATGCCAGTCGAACACCGGAGAGAAAACTGAGACGGAGAAGTTTGCATCCCAGGGGTGTTTATGCAGGTTTAGAGAATACACAGTAGGGAGGCTTGCCTTACCATTAGCTTTTCTGCTATAAACTGTCTCTGTTACTATTTAGAGGAAGATATGTCTGGTTATGATCCAAGAGTAATGCCAGAATCCACACCACGTGAATGAAGTCTGCCTCAGGGCGACTACTGAGCCAAGGTTTCTTTTTTGGTACAGAATGTAGTGGGAGCTGCCAATCTAGTTCTGTGTATTACATTTGATTTTTTTCACTTTACACACAATCCAAGAAAACACTCACACAGACTTCATGCATGCAGGTATAATTCACTTGAGCCAGGCTGACAGGATCCGCCCCGATCCTTGTGTTTATATAATTCATCCCAACTGAGTACAACTAGAAATCACAGGGCCACGTTCTGTTTGATTTATGCATAATGTGATCTTTAGCTGTAGATGGTAGTATTGGTACTGGTCTAAATATAAGAAAGGCATGCAGAATTACTGGCCTAATTGGGACAATCTGAGCCAATCAAGTGCTATTTAGTAAAGCCCTGTAACTGTTATTTAATCTGGTGAATCAACTCAGAGAGCCAGAAGGAGAATATAGTCGCACTGGTCAGTGTTTGCAAATATATGAGTGTGAAGGGAGGAGGTGAAGAAAAGGCGCCATGCTCAGCAAAACACTTCCTCGGATAAATGTGGCCTATAAAAATCACTGATATGAAAATGAATCTTCCTAGCATTTCTCTGCAGATGGCCTGAACGATGAATCAGCATGTAAGTGGAGTGCCAATTATCTTCCTTACCTATCAGTGCCAGGTTTGGCAATTTGCCCAGACTCTTGCCTTTGTCCAGCACTCGCTCCCACTTGTAGTTGATGGGATCAGAACCATCGCTGGACTTACAGCTCAGCTTCACATCACTGCCCTCATGGAGTTTGCCATCCATCCAGCACCTCGGCTTGGAAGGTTTGACTGTAAGAACACATTGGAGGCAGATACATTTTAATACAAATGTGCATCAAACAAGCACACTTTTGTTCTTTAATATATTGGCACAGGTACAATTATAATTCTTGAGTTTTGGATTCAGTTTCAACCATTGAGATGACACATTTTTACCTATTGTGATTTAGTAACAGAACAAAGTAATACAACAAGCGAACAAAAGTAAGGCAGAACAGTAAATATTGTATGGGTCTTACATGTACTGTATCAGTAATATATGACGTTTCTAATATTTAGTGTAAAATAAAAATAAAAACAATTTAACAAATATCTTTATTTAACATGAACTTTAGCTAATTATGTAATTTGTGGATATGTAGTAATCTTTCAATAAGCCAAAGTTGGAAGACCAAAGATTACTCTGTAGTGCCATCAAAACAGGCTTTTTGCAGGACATTTCCTAATTTTAAACTGTTACTGCTCTTTTAAAATAGAGCTTAAATGCTCACACAAATATTCTATAAGTTTATAAAATCCATCTTCCATGCACTGTCTATGGATAGGTCAGTGATGACATTATTATTCTCTAGGGGTCTAAAATTAGCTGAACTACAGTTAACAATGGATTTTCTTTTTAAATAGAGAATGCACTGAAGCATGAGTTATTCCATAATGTAAGAGCAAGTGAAACAGAGGTGCGTCAACTCAGAATAAAACGCTACATAAAATGAAGAGCGAGTGAGATGAAAGTGAGATAATAACACCAGTGGCTTGTTAAGTTTCATAAAGTTGAAATGCTCAACATACCGTATAAAGTTTATTCGACGTTGTCCGTCTATATCCAATACTTGTGTCATTTACAATATTTAATAAGGTGAATCTAGCATGTCATCAGGGTAAGTTCTCAGAGCTCAAACAATAAAAACTAGATCAGAAAGAATAAAAACTAGTCCCATAGGGAATGGATCAATGTGACCCCAAAGCTGGCGGCTGTGAACGCTTGTGGTAATATGTTCTCCACAGGTCAAAGGTTTTGGTCATAGTCCAGTAGCTGGAGGCACAGTACAGTATAGCAGTTGCCTGCTGAGCCCTGTACAGCTGCACTGTTTAGATACACACTGAGAGGCACTGCAAAGCTTTCAAAGCAGGAAAATAGCACACTGTTTTCTCTCTCCCAAGAGACATATTTTTAGATCAGTGGTGAGCTAAATTTAAACATCTATTTTGTCATATTAGTGATGTTGGCTTTTGTGTATTTGGCTGTTGCTGCTTGTCAGCAAAGTTGCAGTATTAAGTACTCTGTAATGCTAAAATGTAGTGAGTTAGAGATAGCACGTACATAAAAGCCAGATAGCTTATGTGTATCTTTCCTTTTGTTCCCCTAACCCTTCTTTTCTCCATCCTATCCCCGTCCGTCTGTCCATCTCGCAGCTCTGTCAGGGTCAGTTAAGCCTTTACTGCAGCAGGGGCAGTTGGACAGCATAAACTCAGACAAACACACCTATATTTGCCCATATAAACACACACACACACACACACACACACACACACAAATACAACACATTCACACCCAAACACACACTCTGTAACAGGAACAGTGCAGGCATCCAGACTTTACAATGCAAGCTTGCACATGAACACATACACAACCATTGGAGGCACGCAAAAACCTTGGTGTGCACACAAATACATACACTCACACGCTGTCTCATGCCAAGCCAGCTACCAGTTCGGCTGCCAAGCTATTATCTTAGCATGGGGAGCAAGAGAAAAATGCAAATGTTCGTCTCTCTCAAAATCGAAAGTGTCACCGCAAAGCTGAGGGCAATTTGTAAAAATCGAGGCACTAACTCACTGAAATGTCTTTATGGAAGAGAGAGGAGAGCGAGAGCGAGAGGATTAACAGACTGTTCCATTAGAAAACCAATAACCGCGGGTTGAACTAATCTCCCATGATGTTTTAATAAATCGCCTGCTTTTCTGACATTGAGAACGATCTCGCTCCTCCCGCTGGACTTTGTGGCTGGCTTTTGTGGTACAGACGCTCCCCTTTTGCTGTCTGTCCTTCAGAGTTGTTTAGCTTTTTGAGATATTGCAGGCAGAGACACTTATAACCACTGAGCTAGTTGCTAAGCCATTTATAACCATCTGTATATTGAGCAAATGAGGAAAACAAAAACAATGGAAAAGAAGAAGGGGATAAAATCTACAATTATGACTTTGCTGTGGCTTATGAGGCCAAACAGGCTTTTCTATAGTTGTAAGAGCTAAAACATGACTTGTACAAATAATTTCCCTAAGTAGATTATCAGTTAGATTGATGACAGCTGACTTTTGTCAATGACATTTTCAACTATTAAATTTCATTACGGAATGTCCCTCAAACTTAAACCGGGGTTTGTTTTCTCACAGATCTCATAGAGGAGATAAATGTATTAGCCATAAAGAATTCAACTTGACGCTGTCCATGTAACCCTAACAATCAATCAGTTCTATGCTCATCCAGACCCAGCTGTATGTTTCTGGTCTCACCTCATCAACAAACCAATCCAAACGAACCCAAACAGCACGAGCAAAATCAAATCACACTGTCTGAATCAAATTGAATCATTAGATCAGTCAGCATGACGGAGGAAATGTGCCAGGCTAATGATCCAGTGATTAGGTCTGTGTGTGTGTATGTGTACAAATGGGTTTGGGTCTCTTCACGACCTGATGGCATGTGTGCGGACGTGCAACCCGAGTGTGTGTGTGTGTATGTATTACAATGTGTCTGACAACACTCACCCAACACAATGAGGTTGACCTGGCTCCAGTGGTACTTTCCCCCAGTCTTGACTTTACAGTAGTATTCCCCGGAGTCGGTCAGCAGCAGGTCACTGATCAGCAGGGAGGCGTCTCCACCCAGGTATTCCCCGGCAAAGGACAGGCGGCTGGCCTCACCGCCCGTCGCCTCATTGGTGTACACCTGGCCCCCAAAGAAGGTAATGATCTAGATATATGAAGAGAAGAAAATCAGAGGATTATTTTAACATTGTTTATTGTAATCTACTTGGGCCTTGAGAGAGAGAGACTGTTCCCAGCATCTGTCTTTCTGTAGTGTTTTTGAGTGTAAATCTTAAATATCAAACTCTCGTGTGTGACAGGCTCCTAACGCCTCCTTCTATATCACAGAAGGCTAGATGAAATCACAGCTGTCCCACAGCCATCTCAATTTTCCAATTCCAAAAACAACACGTTTGGTTAACTTAATTTTCATATCCCGACTGTAATACCCTTGATATATTTGACTGGTAGCCTGCCATTAACATTTAAAATTACATAACTCTAATGATGGTGTATGTACAGCTCAGGCATATTCATAGTCCCTCACTGGGTGCACAGTGTTGAGAAAAACAATACCAGAACTCTTGGGTAACATTGTTAACAATCACTTTTTAATTAACACTTGGGAAATAATATTCTACAAATGAATGCATTTGCTGGAATGCCAGTATCCTGCCAGTGTTCATTTAGCTGATTATCTGTGAGCACTGTTATCTCCTTATGCTTTTTCTACAAGCGGAGCTGTCAAATTGACCAAATAAAAATCTATTCTGGTACTGAGATAAAAGATTAAAATGCCAGCAGTGGCACTGATGTGATGTCAGCACTCAGAGAAACAACAAAAATCTCATACCCGACATTGTCCACTTAGTAAATACATATTACTACACATGTATGTTCAGAAAAGAAATCTCTTGTTGCATTGATGTTTTTACTATTATTTTTTGAAAAACTAAAATTTGAAAATCAGGTCATTTGTCATGGTTTTCTTTGTTGTTGTCAGATCTAACAGTGCCACAATGTTACTATTTTAAAGCACTTACTCTTGAACTGTGAGGTTATGCAAATCAGTAAAGGCATTAAAGGTTTCATTTGTTCAGCCACTCTCTGTACACCTTAACCAAATAAACTAAATTATTATTTTATTTTATGATGTGATACTATTATTAGCTTATAATTAGTTACAAACTTTTTGTAGCATGGCAGTTTTGCATAAATGCCATAACTGTTGAGTGCATTATGCTACTGTCAGTGTATAGTGCTTGCTCCATTAAAAAATGAGCATGTGTATATATTAGCATGTTGGCGAGCTGGGCAGTCCCATGAACAATGAACAGCTACCCATTGTGTTACTATAAAGATTCAATTACAAGGCCTGGCTAAGTCAGTAGCATTGCATTAGTCATTTTCAGAAAAATAATAAACACGCCTAATGGGGTGGTCTTCAGAACACTATTAATTGATATCTTATATAATATTAACAGTAGGGACACTGTTAATATGCAGTCAAGTTTGTGCATGTTAGGTGCATACATACACACATGCATACAAACATCCGCATGTAAACTAGGCTAGTGCAGAAAAAGAAGTTTATGTTTGCGATTGACACATTTTTTCTTTTTTCCTTTTACTTTTAGCAAATGTTTCGTAGATGTTTCCAAAGACTGGGTCTTCAAAGGAAACATCTGATGTTTTGAAATTTCATGGTACACATCGAACATCTGTAAAGCTGTACTGGATAGCTTTCATTTTCTCTTTTCTGCCTGTTTATGTCTTTGCTTTTCTATCCCCTCCTTGTTTCTCTTTGCCTCTCTCTCTCTCTCTCTCCATCCACACACACAAACACAAACAAACACAGCTGTCACAGTGGCCTATTACTCAGGGCAAGTGAGAGCCTGCAGATGGGGACTGCTAAATGCCGGTGCCACAGCACATCATTGCCTAAGAAACAGGGGCACCTGCTGTGATCACAGGTGACGACTGGCCATTTACACACACACATGCACAGACCTAAACACACAAACAAACATGTAGAGTACATGCACACTGAGAATGCAAACATACATTATTGTGCCACAGGCTGCTACAGGCACAAAGTGACGCGGCTCTGGCACCTACACAAAGTGGGACATATTTTTAAAAGCATTTGCCTCTGGACACACTTGTGCTGCCTTGATGAACTCTGGACGTGTATTACTCGCATATACATGAGTATGGACTGCACTACATGTGTATGTGTATTTATGCTTCTGGTTATGTCTGGTGTACCCTGAACATGTGCTTATAACACTGATAGGAAGATAGTGAAAGTGCTGGTGAGTGTGATCAATTTAAGAAGAATTTAGTAAAATGTCCACAGGCTGTTAGCATATTTTGCAATTAAAATGAGGCGGTTTATTTATTCAGTAAAAATTGAAAATACTGTATGCAGACATGGAGTGTCCCTGCCTTGTCTAGCTCTTTTAATGAACAAGAAGTCACTGGATTAAACATTTGGTTCACGGGTATACTTACAACAATATACTGTTTTAAATTATTTTTTTTGTTGACTTGCAAGGTTACCTGATAGATAGTCAAGAAGGGACTGTTAAGGATTATTTGGACCAGATTACACTGAGTATTAACAATCAAGGTATTTATTTTTCGTTTCCATAATATAACCTGAATATATAAGAGGATATACAGAGGAAAAACAGACACTCCATTTTCTCACTAGACTATTAATGAATATTAATCAGCTAAGTCGGTTGCAATTGTCCTGGTAATAAATGACATGAAAGTATATTCAGAATTGTGCTGGAAGGGCAGCAATTTTGCATTTTCTTGTGTTGAAAATCGCCAGCATAGAGTAAGCTTTTACCAAACTGCTGCTGGTGTACTCTGCAAGAAAGAACAATAATTTGTGGGAAATGTCTAGCTTTAAGCAGCTTACTTTCATTGTTTTCCATTTTTTGGAAAATGACATCCTTCCAGGCAACGCCACAACTGTCACTACAGTAATACATAATGTTTTGTTTAACTGCACTTTTTCGGGTCAGCACAGTGAAAACCAGTCTTTTACGACAATGTAAATGAACTTTGGTGCAACTCTCATGCCCTGTCTCCAGACCCTCTGTGTCCTTAACACATGTAGCCTGTACATATGCTAACAGAGGCTAAATGTTGACAAGATGCTCTTTCCCTCTCAACACGGCCCTCTAGCAGAACAAAAGAATGATTTATTCATTCAGCTACAGGCGCAGTCTCTTTCCTAATCAAATTTTCAGACGTTTGATTTTAATTAATGGCGCCTTCAATGTTATCTTCCCGTTAAATATTCATTGCAATGTGGCAGCCGCCCTCTGAATCATCAAAGCGTAAGACACTAGTTTTCCCCTTTCCTGGCCCCTCTGTTTCCCCTCCACACACACTTTTTTCTTTTCTTTCTTACAGTGTTACGCTTCTCTGTGCTAACCAACACATCAGCAAATGAACAAACGTCTTCCAAAGAGAAAGGAAATCTCTTTCTTCCGACAAAAGGCTGGCGAGAGTATACGCTCTGTCTGTTATCAGATACTACGTTCAATTTGGGTGAAGAAAGGCAATGATTCAAAACCAGTGAAACGATACCCAAACGTCATGGCTGTGAGACACAAAACCAAGTTAAGGTTGAAGTTAAATACTTTCAGCCAGGTGATGCTTTACCTAGGACAGAAAAAATGTGTTGCTGTTTAAAGCTGGAGGATATGATGAAGCGTAGAATCAGCCACCATCTATTGATTTCATAATTTCTAGACTTCAGGTGGACACAAAGCTAAGGAACCCCAAAATATCCCCAAAATTTCACTGTAAGTGGGAAATGTAATAACATAAATAATAGAAGGTTTTCATCTGACTTTGTTTTTAAGATAATAGCTAATTTATCACTACATAGTAGCCTATTTAAATTATATGTATGTAACAGATGCTTAATATGTTCAGATGCCAGTCAGTCCGATGATGTGACACGCAGTGCAGACTTTCTTGATTATTCGGAAACACTCCGCCTCCCTTAAAGCCTAAAGTCCGCCTCCACTCAAAAGTACGTTTTTCTTCTTGTTCGTACAGTTGGATGTTTGAGCTTCCCTGTGCAAAATTATGTATGTGCAGAGTTTGACTCTACAAGAATGATTTCACATTCATCTGCTGAAAGTGGAAAGTTTCTCTGTGCTCAGTGAAAATCTGATTTTAAGTGGCGGGGCATACAAGCATGATTTGTGACATCACAAATAGTTTGGAAGTTGTTCCTGGTCCAGCATGAAACTTCTACAGTATGATCTAGAAACTTGAAGCCACCAGTGCACATACACTGAAAATGGACTTTACAGTGAAGCTTGAGACATCTTGACACAAAAAAATTACATATTCATAGAATTTGGTAATTGTAATGAGTGAAAAATATTATGTGGAAATTATACTTTTTTTTGTGCAGAAAAACAGATTTTTTTTCAAATGTCATTTGTAGCTTATACATGTCTGGAAGGGATCTTTAAGTGGGTGTGTAATCTCACATCAGTTGTGTTCTGGTGAACTACTACTATGGGCTGAAGTTGTTTTCAGTTACTGCAGTAATGGTAATCCAATTCCAGAAATTCCAGTTTTTCAGGTCAGTGTTAGTCATGTTACCAAACTAATTCGATGGAAAGTGATGAAAACCTAAATAAGACTGTTTCCGTGTTAGAGGTGTTAACAGTATACAATCACATTTGTAAAAAAGCTAATTGAAAAAAATGCCAAAGTTGTTCCAGTGTTTATGCATTTCATGCTCTAGGAAAAGTAAAAAGTAAAGAGTCCAAGGTTACACCTACAAAATGAGTTGGGGAGCATTCTGCGGCATGATTGTTCCTTTGTGAAAGGCACTAAAACTTGAAGTGCCACAGTAACTTTGGGCATTGAGTTAATGTGCAACTATTATGGCTTCTGTCGGAAATCAATCAGCATGACTCAAATGGAGTAAAGATAGAGTCATTTTAAAAGAGCCCTAGCAAAGGTCACAAAACCTGTAAGCCCAGAATTCAAAGCCATCAAAAGAGTGTTTAAGTTGTTCTTGTGTTTATGTTCTGCCTGTAGGATAAAAACACATTTACTTTTTACTTCTGAAGAGGACAGAAATCAGGCTGGCCCGTTACAGATGCATGATGTCAGTAGCTTAAGTATACCCTACAAACCTAAATATTAACAATAACATATGACAATGGAAAGGTGGGGATAAAAGAAATCTTATCTTACCACTTTCTGTTTGGAGTTTGGCTTCTGCAGTAGCCACTCGATGTCAAGAGAGTTGGATGACGGGAACTGATGGTGGCATGGTAAGGTGGCATTGTCCCCAACGACCTTCTTCATCTCCGTCTGGGCACCCACTGACAGCAGGCTGAATAGAACTGAGGAAGACAGAGGGAGAGGGAATGAGATGTCAGATGGGGACACTAGCTCGATCCAAACTTGAGACAAGAGGCAGATGCTGTAGATAGGAAGCAAAACCATGCAGACGAAGGAAATTGAGACGGAAAAAACGTAGCGGGAGATATGACCCAGAATCCCAATCACTATCTGACAGATGCTGGGATACGTCACGGTATGGAGACGGGATGTGGATTCTTTTTTACAGGAAATAGAGTTTGGCATAGGAGGCCAGAGAGAACTGTTATGATGATCTTTTTGTTAACCCCTTTTGACAAGGGCATTCAAAGAGCACATTCTTATTCACAGCAACAAACGTGGGGAGTTGTGGCCGGGGAAGGAAATGTACACAGCTTTTGACTACTAAAGAACTACCTGCACCATGCACTGCCTGTGCATTGACATGTGTGCTTTAAAACTGCAAAGATACGGTTATCAAGTCACTTGAATTGAGCTACACTTTTCCAAACTGGCCCTGGCCACTACATGTGACAAAATAGACAAAATGGAAACAGGTTTTGACACTACATCCACAACTATTGCAAACGGGAAAATGCAATCATAATAACACACATACCCAAAAAATCCCACAGCCTACTCAGTGAAGAGCTTGGGTCGCAGTAAAAAAGTAGCAATAATTATGAGTGTGTCCAGAAGCGAGTGACTTTGGGCACCAGCCAGACTGTCAGGGCCTGTGTCTCAGTGGGGGTGCAGCAAGGCTAATTTATTGGAGGCTGCTGGACAGCCCGACGGGCTTGAGTGGAATTAGCCAGAGGCGTCACAGGGGTTTGCTGGAAGCTGAAGCTATAGATGTGTTGGTGTGTGTGTGTGTTTGTGTGCGTCTAGAGGGGGTGGTGCACTGCTGAGATATTCAACCCCCTCCACCTCACAGTAAGGCTGCACAATACTGCAGAGCTGCACTAAGCTTACACTCTCAAATGTGACAGATATTTTTGGCTCGACAACATTTAACTTAACTACCTGCCTTTAATTTAATTGCCAAACGAGCCAATAGCTCCAAGGGATTCTGAGTGCTTAAAATAAAGTTATCCAGCCAGCAGATGCTCATTTGGAATCATGCAGAAATGTAGAGGTTGTGTAAATATTGTTACATCTCCCTTTCATTATCATGCTGCTTAATAGATTCAATATTCCCTCCTGTTTGCACACAATAAATAAGCATCACGGTGTGGGACATGTATTTGAACAAAAACTACATTCAATAACAGGTGTTATGTCTGTGGTAGAGTGATTAGACACAGACCTATTCAATGAAAGAATGCCTTTGTGCTCAGCAGACACAATCACATGCTGTCAAATGTTCTACAGGAGGCCAAATGTGGCCTGTGAATGCATCAGCACTCACTGGGCGCCTGTCCACTTGTTCACTGGTCCACCCTCACAGGAGCCAACACCCTGTCCCATAAGTGATCTTTGGGCCAATCAAAATGTCAGCTCTGTGCTGTGAAACCAATGAGTCAGTGCTGACGCAGGACACAGGGGCAAAGAGTAGTCATACAAACCACTTCTTCCATACAGATGACATCATCTAGTGAATTTCAGCAGTTCCTCAAGTTTTGTTTTAGTCCTGTCTCTACTTTGTGAGTCTTCCGCTATAAACCCGAGCTCCGGGCAGCTCGCTGTCAATCAAGTGTTAGGTTTCCAATTGGCATTCACCGGTTGGACAGAGAGAGAGCACTTTACGGTTGGCAGAGTTTTTGTGTGTCCGTTTTGGCAGCCCAGGAGTGACGGGACAAATTGCTGAGGTCCTTCTGCTCTGTTGGACCACCTGCTCAGTTCAAATCATTACTCAGCAAAAAACAAAATAAGGGTCAATCCTCCTCACAGAGGAGCTCCTGGACCCGGAAGGTATCCCCATTTATGACTTTTTAATGCAGCATTTGCAGGCTCATTCATCTTGTGGGCTCCCCGCCAATATTAGCTTGGATGTCAGAAAAAAGAGAGGGATAGCTTTGCAGTGTAAAGAATATTCAAGATGGAGAATGGTCAGACTGTGCGTGTGTGTGTGTGTGCAATTGGTTGAACCTAATGGTGTGAGTTAATGCTTTATGGTGGTATAGGGGTCTGCTGGGAACCCTGTGCCCACCACCTCCCCTCAGCTCCTCAGGCTAGCCTCTGTAATCAGTGCTCCCACACAGCCCGGGGCTGAATCCAGCACTGTGTAGCGGGCCTGATAAGAGCTCCCTGCTTCCTTTCTCACCTCCCACCTCCTACTTAACTGCCTACCGCTTCAACTGTAGGTTCTGTAAAATGCAAGAGTTTACCTGAAGGATAGATAGGGCCAGGGTGACTGCTGAAAGTGGCGCATTGCAATCTTTTTCCACACAAAGTACTTGACTTTCCACTAGCTGACTTTAAATTGACCTTTAATCAATGACTGGGGTCAGCTCACTAACTATAGCAATGCTGGTGTCAAAAAAATGCACTTCAATGCCTAACAATGAGGTTTAAGTGCCATAAACGGCACGTATTTCACAGTAAAATATAGACAGCAAATATGCTGTATCTGTGACTGAAAGAAAATTGTCTTAGTTTTTGCCAAAAAGAGCTGGCAGTCAAATCAAAAGGGACACTGACTTGTACACAATCGCCGCTCCTCACTTTTCCACTTATTTGTGATCTTGCAGAGGGGTTTTTGTGTCTGTGGAATGGATGACACAGTGCTCCCAAAATACACTTGCCTTGATATGAGTTTGTGCTTGCATTTGAATTGGCCTCATTCACCGCACAGTGTGCACAGCTGGGACGGTTGGACTGCAAGACCCCATCATTTGTGTCAACTATGACACACAACAGAATTCATTTTTGGGGCAGCTATACACACAGTACAAAGGTTGTTTTGTCAGTAAAATTTGGGTTCATGACCTTGGCTTTCAATTTGCAGTAAGGTGACTTAAAAGAAACTGTGAACAATATTAGCTTAAACCTAGATGACATTCCTGCTCACAGCTCCGTGTATGAATTCACATGTCTTTAAGAGATTCTATGAGGACATGGGAAAGGCCAACTAAATAAACACGGCCATCTTGAGAGAGCGATTAAAGTGGAGAGGACTTGTGATACTGTAGCTGGTGCCATATCACAGACCATATCCCCCATCCCTCTTTCTCTTTCATTGTGTCTGCTTCTCTCAGCTTTGTTTGGCTCAGCTTCATGTTTCTATTTGTGGCTAGGTTCAGTCTTTACCCAGACAAAGAAAGGAATGAAGCATATCGTAATTAAAAAAAAACAAAGTGGGAGCTAACACCAGAGGTTTAGAAAGAGAGAGTGTGAGAGAAAGATAGACACATTTGACAAACAGAGAGAGTGAGAGGCTAGGGTGAAATATGGAGGAACCCATTTCTATGACAAGGCCCTAGGGGGAGTTGTGCTCCAGTAAATCCGCCTTACAGAGCCCGGCAATCTTATTATAGTGTGGCCAGTGAGACGGACAGACAGACAAACAAGACAGGCCTGGATCTTTCACACTGCCCAAAGTCAAGCCCCATATCCCCTCAGTCAGCACATTGGCCTGGCTGGGGCCTTTGCAATGTCCAAAGCTTATGACCTCTGGTACTCAAACGCAGCAGATCAGAGAAGGGAGAGGGAGAGCGAGAGATAGGGGGTGAGAGGAGTGAAAGGAGAGAGAAAATGGGTTGAGGGAGGGGTGGAGGGATGGTGCAATGCCTTATTTTGAGCACTTACTGTAAGTCACTGGTGTGGAGGATGGATTATAGCACCACAAAGGTGGTTTTAGACACAGGTTAGCAGATGCACAATAGGAGAAAAAGATTAGCGGTATCACTGTTTTATTTCTGCTGACAATTTCCTGTTGTGTGCATTCACGCTGCTTTTCCTATATAGAAAACATGTGCAACCATCTACATTGTATGTACATGCGTGAACACAAGCTCTGTCACAACAGCTGTGAGGGACTACCTTCTGCTGGCAGTGAGTAGTGTCTCAGCACACATATACCTTTAATTTGGGATACATCTGTCATCAATGCCGATGACTTCAGTCATATTTGAGTAACGTGTACAGCTTTACTGCAGTAAAGGCTAAAGTAACAATCATCTTTCAGTCCTACCAATCTGCAAAATTACTGTTTATCCTTCTGTCAATTACAGGCTTATCAAGGAACAGGATAAAATGCAGGAGAAAGAGAACTGTTTGGGTTATGACCTCCATACATGTTCTTAAAAATATAGGACTTTATGCATGTAACTAGCAAAATCTGAAATGGCAAATAAAAACACAAGTCCTCCATTCTTATTGCTGACATAAAGCTAGTTTTTAGCTGAGTTGCTGAGAGCAGCATAGGGCTGATGAGACAATAGTAAAATACTCACAGCTCAGCGTGCTGTTTAAAAGGCTGTGTCTGCCCCCAACCAATAGTACAGCAACCTTGTGTGACCTGAATTGGCTATTCAAATGCCAAACATATATACTATAAATACCACCAATGTGGCACAGAGATTCACAGACAGGAGGTTACATCTTGCCCTTTCCTCTTCCCTGATATCTTAGAGGATTTCGAGGCTCGAAATGCCAAAACATCTTCAGATGTCTTGGCAGACAAGAGGCTGCCTCCAGTTGTTAGCGCAAACTGAGTGTCTGCAAAAACAACCCACATGCACGCTCTGCAAGTCCTTTATTCATACAGTCATAGCTCCCTTTTTAATTACAGCTTCTTAGGGGTAAGTCTCCTTAAATGTACCAAGTTATCATGTCCTATTAAAACACATGTTTTGCATATGGCACACTACACTAGTCTCCTTGTAGTTTCAAGGTCCAACTCATGAATATATTGCTTCTGTGAAAATCAAAGGGGCTGTTTTTTTCCCTGACTGGAGGCTGACTCTTTGAAGGGATAAAATCCCATAATCCTCCTCGCCTCACACCCAGCGACCGTCACTCCCTTCTGCTGACACGGAGGTTTTGTCGGTACTTTACAATAAGGTACATAGAGTCATTACCA